AATAAATATATATATATATATATATATTATATACATATATATATATATATATATTATATACATAGCATTTTAAAAAAAATAAAATTTTATTTTGAAATATTTGAATAGATGTGACATAAAATATATGTCACAATATATTATGTGACTTTGTTTATGATATAAGAATTTTAAATACTTTTTTGAATTAATTTTTCAAAACATGTTTTTAAAAAAACATTGCAAACATGTTAGCAATTTTTTTTAAATTTTTCCATAAAAAAAATAATTTTGACATTAAATTTTTTTTATTAAAAAAATATTAGAACGAAATTATAAAATATAAAATTTACTAATATAAAATAAAATATATAGTAATATCATAATATTATTTGTGAATTATTTTTTTAAAATTTTGATTTGTAATTTTATTTATATTGACCAAAACATTTAAAAATATATTAAAATTTTATAATATTTAATTATTTTAAATATTTAGAATAAAATATTTCAATGTAATATAATTATAATATAAATTATTATATCATTCTATTTTTCTACTTTTGATTTTATAAGAATCTGTAAATTCGTTCTAAACATTTTTGTACGTATGCAATAAGATATTTTGTATGTATGCAATAAGAATTACTAAATTCGAGTAAGTTAACTAGGTTAGGACGTATCGGACACCGGTATACGTGCCTTAACTGAGAGCGAGTGAGAAAGTAATTCAAGTACGACAGAGACAATCGCGTAAACGCGGACGAGGACAATGCGTCAATTTGAAGTTCATCGTTTACGATCGTGAAATCATTAATTTTTCAATACATTTTATTCTACAACTCTGCACTTTTATGTTTCATTTAGTGAACTAAAAAATTTTCTTGGATAAAATCAAGAAACAGAATCAACTATTCATCAAGACCCGGTCATCATATATCATAAAAGGCATTTTCAGCCTAACAAAACCTATAGGAATTTTCGACATTGTAGACATTGAGGGACATAGAGAAGTAATGATTACTCACCAATAACCTCTTTCAGCTCATAGTCGTCCTTGGTGTTCGGCCAGCCCTGCACAACCGTGGTGGAGCTCGAGGACGCCATTTTGTTCGCCAGTGCTGTACCAAAACGTGCGTGCTTGCTGGTATTTCGGGCGCCCCGCGCAAGTAGTAACACACCGCTCTTTAAACGTGTGCTACTGTTAGGTGTTTTAGGCTCACGTGGACCTCTCGTATCGACGCTTGCGCGATGGTTATTTGCCGCAGGTATATTCGCGTTTTTCGGCGGAGTTGAGGCGCGGAATGATTTTTGTCGGAATATCCCCGGTGAACAGGAAGGTAGAATCTCTGGTGAAATTTTTCTACAGAAATATTTAATTTTTCAAGAACAATATAATAGAAAATAAAAATTTGTTTAAGGTATAACAATATCATTTTGTTATAAAATATTAAATCTTGTGAATATTTAATTTGAATAAAATTTGAAATAAGAAGATTAAAGTTTGTTTAAAAAGTTGTTTTTGCAAACAATGCACGAATTAGGGCCGTAGTATTAAGGAGGCCACGACAATGTGTTTATTAAGTCTCAATTACATGTAATTTTGTCAAAATAAATGCGTCGATAAAGCGTCGACGCAACCTACGCAATCCCCAATCTGATTCATTAAGTCGATTGGTCTTTCTTAGAGAAACCAACCACTTGAGTAATAAATTCTAATTTAGAACAATTTAATATCTTCAAAAAAACTTTCTTTTCATTTCACCATTTTCATTTACATTATTTATAAATAAACTTATTACAAAATTTTATTATAAAGAATACAAAATAATTTTTAAATTCATACTATAGAACTATTATTAGAAACATATATAGCGTAACACTTACTATTTAAAACAAATCCTATATAAAATACAAAGTGGAGGGAAATTTAAATATTACTCTTATTCTATTCTATTTTGAATAAGATTTTACATGGATGAAATTTAATTGATGGTATTATCAGAAAAAAAATTAAATCTTAAAGCTCTTTAATCTTCTTTGAATATTTTTATTGAGATTTACTCACGCGTAGTAAGTATCAAGTAGCCGAGGATTATGATTTATCCAACATAAGCAGTGCAGTCTGGCGTGCAGGATTCGTCACTACTGTCGGTCAACAATTCGAAATATTTTTTCGGAGAGAGAGAACGAGAACCGCGTGATACGTGACCGCGATATTAAGGTTAATCCTGGTCCGTCTGTCCAAGTCCCACATAAACTCTGTCGATGGCACGCTCGCCATGATTAGTAATTGAAGTGTCATTCGCGTGTATATTGAGAAGCGTGTTAAAAAAAAATGGAAAAAGAAGACTAAGCAAGAGGGGATTTAAAAAAAAAAATGGGAAAGAATTACAGAAGTATAATAAAAAAGTTTATAAGAATAGAAAATAAAAGAAAACATAAAAGATATTATATGAAAAACAAGAAAAGAAAATATATGTTGAAGTTATCAATATCGATATCGAGAAGAATCAATTGACATGATTAAAAAATTAATTAAATGGTTGATAATCAAACATGATGTTGAGATATTGAATTTCTGTATTTGCAAAAAGATCTATTGAAGATGACCTTTAGCTTTCAAATGACACATGACCTAATGCGTTCAAATCCTGTACAAGATATAAAAGAGCCAAATGAAAGTAGGTAGAACAGTAATCTGATTCACGGTTTCTGATAAAGGTGACTTTTTGTAAAACGGAAAACTGATTAGCAAAATCATTTGGCTGCTATGTATCGACTAGGATATATCGCAATGGTAAGCATTTTTAGAAGAATGTTTATTTGAAATTTTATAAAAAAATTTTATTTCAAATTTAAAAATTCATATTAAAAAATATGAAAAATTAATTTTAAAGTATCAGTAAATTTAAAAGTTAAAAATAGAAATAACAATTATATTGAAAAATGTTTGTACGTTTCATGCACATAACTGCATCGTCTATATATTGGTAGCTTTTAAACACTTTAATTATCATGGATGTACTACTACGTCATTAAGAAAACTTACTTTGTTTACATCAAACTATTAGTATGTCTCCGTGTTTATGCCAATTTGTAATAATTCGTTTAAAAAGATGTTAAATATACTTGTTAATGTGTAACATCACACGGAATTAAATTTAACATTTGTAAATTTTTAAATTTATGTAGAAGCCATAAAGAATTTTAAAAAACAAACCAAATGGTTATCATTATATATTATATAAATTATATATCATATAATATTATATATCATAATTAACTCACAACAATTCAAATTGTCCATTTTTAAACGGATATAATAATTATTTTTGAAAATATGAAAATTATTTGGTAAAAAATCATAATTTATATTTTATTTTATAATTAATAATTATTATTATAATTTCAATTATGTTAATTTTCTGAAACAAATAACAATTTAAATTTTCAATTTCAATTTTTATAATTTCTGTTAATATTAAAAGTCCCTAGATTATTTTTCAATAACAAAAACCAATCAAGTGACTATGCGCGCAACAACTCATTAGTATCGATAAAATAACGATCAAATCTTTTGAATTTGCAAAGTAATTTAAAACAAACCTTCTAAGACCAATAATTGAAATAAATTGTTGGAGAAAGAATCGATGAAATTTTAAATTACAAAAACGAGCAAGATAAGAACAATGATGCACTTACCTATTTCTACCAAGAACTAATGTCGTTAAGAACCTGTTGTCTTGAAATTTCAATCGTTCCTCCTCTGTAGATATAGGCGCCGCGGCGCCAAGCGTGCCTGTCTTATGTTGCCTCATGTTGCCCGCAATTCTGCGCACAAAGAAGAAACATGTCTGTCAGATCGGTTACATATTTTAGGCGCGCTTATATTTATATCGAATGAATTTGTTAATTAACAAATAGAGAAATATTTTGATTAATGAAATATTAGAATATAAATAAAATAATACAAGAAATTCAACGAATTACTAATTTTTTAAATCTTATTAATTCGAAATTTATATATTTTTATTTCATAATGATAAAATTTTTTTATCTGAAGTATAATTTTTTCGAAGAAATTTAGATATTTTATATGGATATAAGTTAATCAAATGAAACAGGAAAAAAATCATAAATTATTTATCGATTGTTAATAAATTAATTAGACGTTCTTTTTTCAGTTGAAGTATTATTATTTCAATATTCTCTATAATATTTTATAGAGAATTACTTGTATTTTAATGTGTTTATTAAATATTATTTTGATAATTTTCAATTTTGCATTTTTTCCTTTTGTTATTGCAATGGAATATAAATATAGCTTTTTCCGTCCTGCCAACATATTATTCATCTGCAACGCAGCCTGAGATCTCCGGACTGCCAGCGTGTGGAATATTTCTAAATTGGCGGTCAGTCGATTGTCACCTAAATACCTAAATGGAATAATTGGAGTTGGATTGGCGGTACCGGCTATTTTTAGCCAGCATCAAGGGGTAGTCCCTATCTTTGCTACCTAAAAATAATCTAATAGCGAATGGATCTTTGGATGTTTTCAGCTCGTGTACTTTAAAAATTTTTTTAACGTTTTTAACTAATATCGAAAATTTTCATCATGTTTGAACAAAAA